AGTCTTTAACACGCCTGGATATATTCTGTTGATATATTACTGTGTATAATTTTGTGTGGAAATATTACTGTGGATTATTTTGTGTGGATGTCTCATGAACTGACAGTTTATGTGGACAGTTGTTAGTAAAGGGAGTAAGAGCTACTTTACCAAACCAGAATGCAAGAATTACCCTTAACATGGAATAAACTGTCCAATATCACCAAAACAAGGGCATATACTGTACTGCAATGAAAGGCACTTAAATATATCCTAGTTTATGACATGAATACAAAACTTACAAAAAAAAAATCCGCGTCACTCAAGTAATTAAGTTAGTTTGTTTTAACGGCTATAACGTAGTCTCGTTCAAGATTCTTCGAACAATGCTGGAGACAGCTGGCAACTCATGGCCGTTTGTTTACAATAGTATGTACGTAGTATAATATAATACGAAACAACAAAGACCAACCATTAAATTAAGCAACGGGAACTAAGTAACCAATCAGCGATCACTTTTACATTTATTCATAAATTTTACTACGTACTATAGTAAACAAATGGCCTTGAGTTGCCAGCTGTCTCCAGCAGTGTTTGAAGAATCTTGAACGAGACTAAATCACAACCAAATAATAACCACAAAGTTTGTTAAATGTCGTTAGATCAACATCAATGTCAAGGGTCACGAAAATGTACACGGGATTTCTGGGAAAATGTAATAAATAAACATACACACAAAAAGCCAATGGTGGTCCCAGATCAGCTGAGCTAAACCTATTGTAAAATAACAGATGACTTTAAACACATGTTGGATTTTCATTATACAAGTATGAGCTGTACTATAACGTGTGAAGGTTGCACAAAATCATATAATCATATAAAGATCATTAAGAATACAGAAAAAATAACCTAACCTACACTAGAACTTGGAAGCCAACAAAGATCATTCTCGTCTTAGCCAGACAAGAAGGGCACCACTAACCTATAGGTGTTGGCAATTCTGATAATTATTTACTCGTGTTACTTAAATATTTAAAGTTTATTTTCGGAGCACTAATAATGTTTATTTTTTTCAGAATTTTCACTGAAACGTTTGTGTTAAAGCTTAGAATGTAAATCCGCTGGCGGAACGGAGGAAAAACGACTGAATTTACATGAGAAACGACAAATAGGCAGTGGTCTACACGCCTTCGGTGATTTGAAAAAAAAAGTCTGATTTTAATTGGAACGATTCACTGAGCGCTAGTGCGATCATTCGATAGTTCCATTTTATTGAAATCAGAGACAGTTCAGCGACAATTGTGTTTTCAATCACAGAATCGCGGGGAAACACAAGTCACGGCCTACATGGCGCTTCAGTAAATTTCAAGTCGTAATTTCCTCTCCGCACAACCGGATTTTCTTTCAATGCACTGCAGCAACATTTTAATGAAAATAACAAAGAAAACATATTATTAATGGTGCGAAAGTAAAGTTCAAAATAGGGCTAAATTCTAATTAGACTGTAGTTGAGGAACCAATGGTGGGAAAAAAAAGGAATTTTCTTATGAAACGGCAACAGTCATGGCCTCGCTTGTTTTTTTTACGGGATTAGCTCACCAGGGCACAGGTCAATGACCCACACAAGGGCCAAAATATAATAATAATAATAATAATAATAATAATAATAATAATAATAATAATAATAATAATATAGTAATCATTGTAATAATAAAAATTAATAAAAAAGGTTTACAAAATATAGATAAAAATACAAAATAAAAATCAATAGTGAGAAACGATGTGCATGTTGTGTTGTCAAAGTAAGAGAAACAATTGAGACCCTGCAACTGTGTAAATGAGACAGAAATTCGGATCAGCAACCTGGGATCTTGGTCACAATTTTTGTGATGCCATATGGCAGCAGGGTCTGCCATTAGACAATGCATTATGCTTCCAATATCTTCCCAGGCGGTAGTACTTCCTGTTTGACAGCTGCCTACTACCTAAAAAAAAGAGTAATTGTTCCAACGCTCAGTACCGGGCTTGGTCGAACTGGCATCGACATAAGACCACCATTGAATCATATATGCTTGGACTTAGCAAGAGCTAAATGGCTCTTCCTATTAAATAAGGTTTTGATAAAAGTATGTAACACATAATTAGAGTTCATTGAAAAGCGACATACCAATCAGCCGAGAAAATATACAAATCACATTTCAATAGTTTTACATGACGGCCAAACCTAAACCTGTTATTCTAGTTCAATTTAATATGTGCAGATTTCCTGGGATTTACTGGCAGCTATGTTGTAAATATACATGAAGTGATTAGATGACTAAATTAACACTTTATACATTCTCAATCGTTTTAGTCCCTTTGAAACCATGTCACAAAATCGTTTAATTTTGATCGTAGCTGGTATGTGTTTTACATGCTAACCTAACCCAACTTCCCTAAATATTGTCGAGTAGGATAATTTAGGTTCACATTTAAATAATTTTACCAATTTCGTGGAATTATGACCCCACATTCCTTTCTGATAATTTCAATGCGTCGCTAGTAGCGGCGGGGGAAGTAACACCATAAGGCAAACATAAAATTTCAACCTGCCTTCTTGAAGCGGCATGGTGTAATTTTATGTTATTTGTAGACGGAAAAGTAAGCTCGGACCGTGCACCTTGGTTGTTGCTCTGAAACAAAACGCGTGCAACAGCCCACAACATCGAGCTTTGATCGGGCTGACACACCGTTTCTCCGTCGAGAAAGACGAAGTAGTGCGAGCCTAAGTGCCTAATTATCTACCAAACGAAGCATTTGCTCAAGAAATACATATCATATCCGAACTCAGCGATTAAAATACAGCACAGTAAGAAAAGATCCATCAAAACAAATTACGAGGCCATTGTTTTTACAGAATGTAAATTGTTTATGGACAAAATCCGTGGAAATGGCTAGCTTACTGGCGCACGAGTTCTTCACATTTACACTATACTGTATCCTAGTTTTCACGTATTTCAGAAAAAAATATACTCACACAATTACTCTATCCAAGCAAATTTATATTATCAATTACTAGGAAATTTCCAGATTACAACTCGACAGTATACCCTTTACAGCAACCTGTCTCCCTGATGCCCTAAGGAACTATAATATAATACTAACTTACCTTACCTGAGGCATCTGAATTCGAGTTGTCCTTAACAATATCCACTTAAATATAGCGATTTGTTTCTCACGTAGATTTTTAATTATTCGCTTAACCATTTAATTTCACCGTTGATACACATAAAAAAAATTACAGTAGATATCCATATGAACGTAGTCAAATGCCGTGGAACTTTCCAGTTGATTGAGCTGGTAACATCCTCGCACAATACGCTTAAGACACTATTATTATCATAACATTTGTCCAACTCAGCTGTTAATAAACATTTTTCTTACTAAACCGTAAACTTGTAGTACTCGTGATCATTCCCTAGAGGAGACTCATCTGTTCTACCACTGGGATTTCAGTCACCGATCACCACTGTCCACCGGCAGACGACATCACCTCGTGTCTCGACTCTCTGTTACTCCGTACACTACCAGGATGAACACTCGGGTTAATGACACAAACGACCACAGTACCCGTTCCCACATGATAACAACCAATCGGGTAGTTGTCAACGCGATGAAAAAAATATGTTTGTGATTTATCCAACTTTGTTAATTATCTTTGTTTTGTTATATTTTGTCTTTGTTATATCTCATTGTTTTTTGGTAACGATGGTAATAATTTGATCATGATTTGAGGTTTAAACAATTGCTAGGTTTATGTTTTGTTTTTGTATTATTTAATGCGCCGTCATTTTATATTCGATAATTTCCTGTTAATTGTAGACTCACTTGATTTTAAACAATATTCATGACATCTTACATTTCATATTTCACGTTAAATGAACTTTATGTATACACTCATCCATTATCTCGTATGTATAGTTTTATCATATTTTATCACAACTTTTTTCAGTGCTAATGAGGCTAAATGATACCTTCCAGTTGTTGAGGCTAAATAAAGGTGGTGGCGCTGTTGTAACTGTGTCGAAAGCAGAAATAATATTAATGTTTTAAGAAGCAGTTTATTGTCTGAGGTTAAGTTAGATTTAAGTTACGTTAAAGCTAGGTTAGGTTAAGTTAGGTCTGGTTAAACTCAAGTAAAGACTGGTAGCTTAATGTTTTATATGATGGCTTTAATATATTTAGAGGTAACAGTGATGATTGAGGTTAGGTTAGGTTAGGTTAGGTCTGGGTTACAGATTCCATATTATCAAAACATTAAGAAACATGAATGGTATTAGTGTTAAGTAGCAATTAAAAATGTCAGAACAGGTATAAAAATCATAGAAAAACGAGTTGCCACACTGGTAGTACTACGCTATAACGAACGACCTTATAAAATACACAGTGTATGTTCCTCACTGGTATAGCTTCACCGACCAAACTTCTGCCTCCCGCTCTCAATTTTTTATCCAACAAAACAAAAATACGAGGCACGCTTCCTGTCCCTTTACAAACCAACCGTAATGTTGAAAACCCTTAGACACTACTGAGTAAAATTGTAAAATAGTGATATGTAGGAACTAAATAAAATAGCTTGATGTATGTTTCATTTAAGCGTGTGAAAGAGGAATACAAAATAAACATTGTGTTCGCCAAAAAAATATGCATATACAACCACTTTACCGTGAGATGAACAAGACCGCTGAGCACGAGAAGTAGAATAATTATGGGACTTGGTCACAATTTTCGTGATGCCATATAGCAGCAGGGTCTACCATTAGACAATACACTATGCTTACTATATCTTCCCAGGCGGTAGTACCTCCCTGTTTGATAGCTGACTACCTGTACTGCCTACTACCTACTAGCTCTCCTTTCTTCAACACTACGTAATTATAACATTCTACCAGCCTCTTCCTACGCCCTAAACACCTGTCTCATCTAGGTAAACCAAGTTTAACACCTGTCACGTATTAACACCTGTATCTTCTCTCTTACAGTAGTTAAACATGTTGACTCGGAGACGCTGGAGTTGCAGAGCGTCTCCCGCAAGGACATGGGCGCCTACCTCTGTATCGCCACCAACAAGGTTCCTCCCTCCATCAGCAAGAGAATCGTCCTTAATGTTCACTGTAAGTCTTTCTCTCTTATACCAGGTTAAGTCTTTCAACAACACCAACAAAAACATCTCTACGACACATCATTTATAAAGCAACACCTCTACAACACATCATTTATGAAGCAACAACGCCTCTACGACACATCATTTATGAAGCAACAACGCCTCTACGACACATCATTTATGAAGCAACAACACCTCTACGACACATCATTTTTGAAGCAACAACACCTCTACAACACATCATTTATGAAGCAACGCCTCTACGACACAGCATTTATGAAGCAACAACACCTCTACGACACATCATTTATGAAGCAACAACACCTCTACGACACATCATTTATGAACCAACAACGCCTCTACGACACATCATTTATGAACCAACAACACCTCTACGACACATCATTTATGAACCAACAACACCTCTACAACACATCATTTATGAACCAACAACGCCTCTACGACACATCATTTATGAAGCAACATCATCAACACCTCTACAACACACACCATTTATGAAGCAACAGCACCTCTACAACACACACCACTTATGAAGCAACTACACCTCTATGAAGCAACAATACTCCTACAACACACAACTCTTGGGAAGCAACACCATTAACAACTCGACAATATATAACACTTATGGAGCAACAACACCACGATGAAGCAACAATACCCCTACAACACACAACACTTATAAAGCAACACCATCAACACTTCTACAACACACAACACTTACGAAGCAACACCACCAACACCATCAACACCTCTACAACACACAACACTTACGAAGCAACACCATCAACACCTCTACAACACACAATACTGATGAAACAACACCATCAACACCTCTACAACACACAATACTGATGAAACAACACCATCAACACCTCTCCAACACACAATACTTATGAAACAACACCATCAACACCTCTACAACACACAATACTTATGAAACAACACCATCAACACCTCTACAACACACAACACTTACGAAGCAACACCTCTACAACACACAACACTTATGAAACAACACCATCAACACCTCTACAACACACAACACTTATGAAGCAACACCATCAACACCTCTACAACACACAATACTGATGAAACAACACCATCAACACCTTTACAACACACAATACTTATGAAGCAACACCATCAACACCTCTACAACACACAATACTGATGAAACAACACCATCAACACCTCTCCAACACACAATACTTATGAAACAACACCATCAACACCTCTACAACACACAATACTTATGAAACAACACCATCAACACCTCTACAACACACAACACTTACGAAGCAACACCTCTGCAACACACAACACTTATGAAGCAACACCATCAACACCTCTACAACACACAATACTTATGAAGCAACACCATCAACACCTCTACAACACACACACACTTAAGAAGCAACACCTCACAACACACAACACTTATGAACAACACCATCAACATCTCTACAACACACAACACTTATGAAACAACACCATCACCACCTCTACAACACACAACACTTATGAAACAACACCAGCAACACCTCTACAACACACAATACTTATGAAACACCATCAACACCTCTACAACACACAACACTTAAGAAGCAACACCTTTACAACACACAATACTTATGAAACAACACCATCAACACCTCTACAACACACAATACTTATGAAACAACACCATCAACACCTCTACAACACACAACACTTATGAAACAACACCATCAACACCTCTACAACACACAACACCTATGAAACAACACCATCAACACCTCTACAACACACAACACCTATGAAACAACACCATCAACACCTCTACAACACACAAATACAACACCATCAATGAAGCACACCATCAACATACAACACACAACACTTACACAACACACATGAAACAACACCATCTACAACACTCCTCTACAACACACAACACTTATGAAACAACACCATCAACACCTCTACAACACACAACACTTATGAAGCAACACCATCAACACCTCCCTTTACAACACACAATACTTATGAAACAACACCATCAACACCTCTACAACACACAATACTTAAAAGCAACACCTTTACAACACACAATGCTTATGAAACAACACCATCAACACCTCTACAACACACAATACTTATGAAACAACACCATCAACACCTCTACAACACACAACACTTATGAAACACCATCAACACCTCTACAACACACAACACTTAAGAAGCAACACCTTTGCAACACACAATGCTTATGAAACAACACCATCAACACCTCTACAACACACAATACTTATGAACAACACCATCAACACCTCTACACACACTTACACCACACACAAGAAGCAACACCTTTACAACACACAATACTTATGAAACACCATCAACACCTCTACAACACACAATACTTAAGAAGCAACACCTTTACAACACACAATACTTATGAAACAACACCATCAACACCTCTACAACACACAATACTTATGAAACAACACCATCAACACCTCTACAACACACAATACTTATGAAACAACACCATCAACACCTCTACAACACACAACACCTATGAAACAACACCATCAACACCTCTACAACACACAACACTTATGAAACAACACCATCACCACCTCTACAACACACAACACTTATGAAGCAACACCATCAACACTCCGACTCAACATTGCTGGAACCACATTATTGAATCCACATAAAATGACGCGAAAAAAACTATCAAAATTCCTATCCAATCAAGAGCATGATTAATTCCTAAATGACCAATTAAATTACTGGCTGAACGACCCCGACTAAACGACCCCGTGTCGTCACTGTCGGTAACCTGACCTTATGGGGGGGTGTACTTACGACACTTAAGGGTTGTTCTTATGACACCTTTAAGGTATATACGTATGACACTTAAGAGATATACTTAAATGACATTTCAAGGTTGTACTTATGACACTAATCGTAGAGTTACCAAGTATGTTATTTATTCATTAATACTTTACAAGACTATATCCTGTTTATATATCACGTTAATTCACGTTACTTTCATCATGAGTAGAGTGTTGGCCGAAAATAGACTCAACATGTTTTCCTTGAAGTTTTTGACCAATGGTAAGACATCTCCGGCACACTTCACCCCACACCCAGGTTAACACTCACCACACACTTACATATGACCAGAAACACGAAAATTGCCGACGTGAAGCATTTAGGAGTGAAAGTAATGGCAATTAATCTACATATCTTTACAGTAAATTTGGTTACGTTGATGTTGAGTTTTACTGAGAACTTAGAATGAACCAAGTGAGCTCTTACTCTTGTCACTCGACCTGAATTACACTCTTGAAATGAGACGTTTTACGCGGGTGAAATATACAGATAGTTATACACTTCATTCAGGAATTATTTTTATACTGTATATTGCATGTGAGTTAAGCTTTAACGTGTTGACTAAATTATTCAACTATGTTCTTCCATTACCAAATATGAGTCGGAATTAAAAAAAAAAATATACAGTATATATGATTTATTCTCCTTTATATTTTATTATTGTCAACAGGAATAATAAATAATAAATCAGTCACTTTCGTCTGTTTGTGCTTTATTTTGTGCTCAAGAGGAAGATTTCATATTTAGCACCTGCCTAACTTAACCTAACCCTTTAGTAGTATTCTGGTCAGGTTTGAATATAAAGGTAATTGACGTACAAAAGTGACCTTGCCTGACCCTTCGAGACGATAGCTACTATAGGGATGCCGTCGATACTGTTCTATTTATGTAAGAATTAGTCTTCCATAACTGAGTATTTATGTATAAGTATGATTAGTGGATTTGAAAACACGTAGTGAAGATGGGGGGGAGGATATAATGTCTAAGGCAAATATTATCGTTAAATTAAATATTTCCACGTACAGTCACTCAAAAAAAGTATCTATACAAAAATGCTTTGAGAAAATATGAGACAACTGACGGAGAATATTGACAACCATAAAGAGACAACAGGAGTCGCAGTGTTCAGTCTGAAATTCATCGATCACTCCAAGTACAGATAGTTTTTTTGAGTGATTGAATATAATTTAGGCGGTTTATCTCACCCAGAGTTAAATATAAAGATATGATGTGTTTTATGGAGTCTGAACCTTTAGTATTTAGGGTAGAATTATCGTGTCGGTCATTCCTATGTTTTTCCGACGGTTTTTGACGTGTTTTGAATGATTTTGATCTTACCTAACCTAACCTAACCTAACCTAAACTAATCAAACCTAACCTGGAATTCTCCGTCGAAGGCTGTGTCCTATCACTTCGTTGCGTCGGTGCTGATGCCTCTTGACTTACCACCATTCCGATGTGCTTCGTCTTCATCCAGACTGTCTTAAGCTCCGTCAAGGCTTGGCTTACTTCGTTTGACGATGCGTCAGCTCTGGCCGCTGCTCGTCGATAATCAAACTACCTGCTGGATTGATCGCTTGGGTCTCCTGATATTGCAAGCTCATTTTCTGTTTCACTAATTGTATCTCAGTGGACGGATCCAGTGTCAGTAGGTCAAATTCTTGGCTTTCATCTAGGTCAAACTCTCTTTCTATGTCGTCGATATACACAATTTCCGACATCTTGCTTCGTCAAATGATTTGAGTTGCGTTCGTTCTATCACTTGGTAGCACCTCGTTTGCCGTTGCCAATCGGAGTATGGTGAGGGTTCATGATCCGTGCCACACACAGACGAACACGTGGAGTAATGGTGAGTCGCTCCTAAGGTTGACCTTGGCCGTGCCCTGCCCTGCCCTCCTCAGCTGCTCTCCATTCGGTCAAACCTGTTGAATAAAATTTATTCTTAGTATTTCAAATAATAAATCATATGTAAGTAATCATACATAAATGTCTAATTGCCATATTTCCAAGTTGTCACAACGATAAACAATACAATTGACAGTCTACCAAAGTAAACTTAAGTACAAGTTGAACTTACGTGTTGAAGGTCTCAAACTGAATAGG